CCGCAGCACCTAACTAGTGTGGGCGGCGGAATGCCAACGCCACAAACCCGAAAGAAAGAACCTTAAGACCCGAATCACAATCCAATGAATCCACCCCGGGTGCAGCACTAAGCAAAATGCCGCAGCACACAACGGAGAGGAATTGGGACTCTTTCAGCGCCACCCGGCGATTACCGGCGACACAATGTCGGCCAGCTCACGGCGACCGCCCCAAGGAAGGTGGATGCCTTTCCAGGACTCCAGATGCCACCTGTTGAACTCAGCGCAGATGTCCCATTTGTCATCAATATGTACGAGGGGCAGATTCTGCAAAGCCTCCACGTCGCGCAACGAGTTCCATAATTGGGTCGACTTGTCTGGCCTGGGAATAAAAAGGCAAGCAAAATGCCGAACGGCGTAGCGATTCGTCCTACAGACGCGGCGGATTGCATCAATCGCGCTCTCAATCAGGCCATTCGTGGAGCATTTGCTGCACAGCAGCACAAGTACATCGGGTCGCGCATTCAAGCGTTGAAGAACCTCCCCGGTGCTTGCAAAAGACCTGTCAAAGACTTTATGGAAGTCGAGGGACAACACAAAGCGTACCCCGGCCCGATATTGCAATGCTCGCTGAAGATGTCTGCCAAACTCTGCTGTGTCGTTAAAGGTGTGCAGCACTTCCAATGGTGGCGGCGTTGGTGGATGCGTCACACTAGCCGATGCAACAGAAGCAGAAGATGGCTCCTGTCTAGAATTGTATTCCTCCCATTCCCTTGTTGTCCAAGAATTAACCGAACCCACAACAACCGGCTCAACACTACGAGGAAGGAAAGACTCAGAAATGGTCGGGAATTCTCGAACCAAATCTTCTCCCTCTAGGTCCTCAGGCGGCTGTGCGCGCCGCTTTGGGCGGGTAACAATGTACTCTCTGCCTGCGGTGCGTTCGGCTAGATCCCTTTCAACCCTAGGCGGAACGGGTGTCCTAACACCTTCGTGCTTAGGCCTTGCACTGGGAGGTGCCGGAGTCCTAATACCACTTACCTTAGGTCTGGGAGCTGGGGGCTTCGGGGGGTTAAAGACAGCAGCCGTGATACCTCGTGGGCTTCTGGAGCGACGCGATTCAAGTGGTGCCTCCTCTGCAATACTCGGCCCATCAAGAATTATCTCATCCGCAGCGCTCGGCCCATCAAGTGATGCATCATCTACGACGCCCGGTCCATCAATCGACGTATCGTCTGCGACGCCCGGTCCATCGAGTGACACACCAGCTGCACTTGGTCCCTCCTCCTCATCAAGAGCATCCGAATCCACGACTGAGGGAAGTGTTGTCTCAGGATCGAAGAGTGGTATACTCTGAGTGAAGGTGAATCCTTCACTACGGAAGAGGTTGATCCGTTCTCTGACCAGTTCAAGCAGCTCAAAGCGGTTCTCGCTTTCTAAGCGGGTCGCAATATACGTAAGAACGTTGCATGCGGCAGCCTTTCGTCGTCGGTTCTTGCTACTACCCCCGCCAGTACAGTACCTGAAAGCTGAAGCGTACAGAAGGAACTGCTCATCTGCTTCCAAGTCGAACAATGCCGCCTGCATGCACTGCGGAATGAGGTCCATGACAACAAACCGCGAATTCTAGATGTGCTAACCCGAATGCCGTTACAGTGGCTTATTGACAATCCACCCCCGTGCCGTCAAAGTGGCTCTACGGAATGAGTGAATGTGCGAAGTGCCTTCGCTAGACTTCACAGCCTTGACGGTTTCTCCGATGACTAGAAAACCGGAAAGTCAAGAGTCAACCACTAACAACACCAACCAAGCCGTCGGCTTCAAGCCAGCGTCGTCGAAGAATGCACACAGGTCTTTGACCCTGAATCCTTAATCTTTGATTTCGGGTGTGCAAAAGGCAATCGTGCTTTGTTGTTTGTTACTCCTGAGGCGGGTACCAACAGCAGGGCAATAACCCAGTCAACCACAAGCCCTCAACCTAATGGGAGAACCGCGGGACTGTAGGTGATGCCTTCGTTGTCGTTTGAGACAATGGCGGTGATGGGAAACCAATCCTTCACAAAACCCGTCACACCACAAAGCCCTAGGCCTTCCTAAACCGTGAACGGGTCTCGGAAGAGGTGTATGGGTACTCGCCACAATCCTTGATTGGATGATTTGCAAGTCCACTCAATTGCTCAAGCAGATAAGTCCACCGGTGGCGGGATGCCAGCGCGGTGACTCAGTGACGCCCTAGCCTGTTGCAATGCAGCAGCCTCGACGCAGCAGGCGGAGGCAAGCGCAGATGCAACCTTTCAATTATGGGTAATATCTCGGAATTCCCCAATCGATATAATCGTCTGCGTATCGGAATTGGGTTACCCTATGTATCTGATGCAATCGGTACAAGAAGAAAGATGTGCGATAACACGATTCAATGGACCTGCGAACAATCCTTCGCCAGCGCGTTCTAGTCCTGTTCCACCTCCTACGATTCTGAAGGTAAGTGGGGAAGAACGTCTCAAGTACCCAAAGTCTTATCCTATAGTAAAGATCCACAAACCAGTCGTGCAGAGCTTCACACACCGTTAGATGCTCGTCTGCTCTGGGCATGCACGTTGACTAAGGTGGTGCCTGAGGCCAAGGGGAGGGTCCACGAAGCGGAAACCACGGGACAGGTACCTCCTCAAGTCTAAGACTAAACCACTTGCGAAGTGTGAGAAGTTCTTGAACCCTTAGTCTGGCCTGCCTGTAAACCCTTTTTCTTAGGGCCCTTGCAAGTCTAGTCCAAAGATTCAGCGGATGACTGACGAGTGCACGTGTTATCTGTCGCACAGGCAGTTGTTGTATGAATCTAACCCAGTGATTGAAGTGCGTAATGTTTGCGAATATGTAACTCAACCCGGTGGCTTGGCTCTAGCTCAACACGGGGAGTATCAGCACGAGGCAGGACAGCGGATGTGCCCTACGCAATGCGATTTCACTCTCAACACCAAAGGACGGTGGAGAAATATGAACGGGTATGGCTCAGGTAGAGGCTCTAGACTCTCCTAGCCACAACACAAACGAAGTATCTCAAAGCTGAGGCTGTTAACCAGAAGAACACAAGAGACACAAGTGTTCTAGCAAGGAACAGCAACAAGTACTGCAATCGCACTTGTTTTCCTTGAGCCAAATGTTCAGTTGATGCGTCTTCGTTCTGTCCTAACTTGGTACTTGTAGTTACACTAGGAAACATGCCCAGGGACGTGTTTTCTCAACTTTTACTTCGCGAAGAAAAAAAGACCCTGAATCGTTGTTGTCTGCCTTTCTCCTTCTTGTGTGTTGGCCAATACTTTTTTGTTCATTTCTTCGCGGCTCTAGAGAGCCGGGAGTTTAGTTTAAAAATGGGGGTGGGGGGGGGGTTGGACCTGGGTTTCAAACCGTCTGCCTTCCGTCTTTCTTTTCTTTCTTTCTGTTCTTCTTCCATGCTTTGGTCCTTGTTCTGGTGTGTTTCTGTCTTTCTTCCTGGCTTCTTTTCGTTTCCGGTAGAAAAAACCAAGAAAAGCACACCAAAACGTAAGGAAAATAGTGTTTCCCCCAGGAAAACCTAGGGAAAAGCACCTAACAAAAAAGAGTATATACTATATATATATATATATATATACACTTCTTATACTATATATATATATATACACACTATATGTATACTATATATTCTGAATATACATATATATATATACACTATATATATATACTATATACACTATATACACTATATACACTATATATACTATATACACTATATATACTATATATATATACTATATATACTATATATACTATATTTACTATATATACTATATATACTATATAATATATATATATATATATATATATATATATATATACTATATATTCTTTATATACTATATATATACACTATGTATACTATGTATACCATAAACTATATATACTACATATACTATATATATATATATTTACTAGAAATACTATATATATTCTATATATACTATATTTATACTGTATTTATACTATGTACTATATATATATATATATACTATATACTATAAATACTATGTATACTATGTATTATATATACTATATATACTATATATGCTATACATACTATATACACTATATATACCGTATATCCTATATATACTAGATATATATATATATATACTACATGTACTCTATACATATATACACATATATATATATATACACCATATTTACTTTATATACTGACATACTACCTTCCTTTCTTTCTTCCCTCCTTGCTTTGTTTCTTTCCTTTCTCCTTCGATCCTTCTTCCTTGCTTCCTTGCGTCCTTTCCTTCCTTCCTTCCTTCCTTGTCTCCTTGCTTTCTTCCTTCCTGACTTCCTTCCTTCCTTCCTTCTCTCCCTTCTTCTTTCCTTCCTTCCTCCTTCCTTGTTTCGTTGCTTTCTTCCAAAAAAAAGAGGGCCCCCCCCCCAAAAAAAAAAAATGGGCCTAAACAAAATAGGTACCCCGAAGGCTGGCAAGCTTGAACCACTCACGAGCTTAGTCTCCAGCTAAGGAGTGGAAGTCTCAGCACATGAACAACCGACCCTTGTTGTGCACAAGCCTGTCTGAAACCGGTGAAACACGCACATCTCCAATTCGGGGTTGGGTTACATGAGCCAGAAAGCTCACCACTTGCTATCAGGGATGATAGACTGATAGACCTTGCGCGGTTGCTACGAACATCACTATCACAAGCTTATCGGGCTGTCATTCTTGTTGGCACTCCTGCACATCCATTCCCAAGACCACAGGTACAATGGCCGGGTCCATGCTGGCCGCTGTATACCGGAAGGGGGAGTTCCTGTGCAGCAAAAGCTTGGGTTTGCAGGCACCCATAGTCATCGCGCCTGGAATTGCTCGTGATGCGGCGTCTGAGACTTCCTCGTGGCCTGCTGCCAGGCTGCTTGGATGTTCATGCTTCACACACCACCCAGCTGCCCAAGTGAGGCTGGGAGACTTTTTGGACCAGGATGTCTGCCATGCTGGTCGCAATTCATCTGCAACAACCATGCCGTGAACATTCGCTGCTCTCACTGCAGCAAGTCTTGATTTGGCTGACGATGCACTGTGCCGGACCTTGCGTGCACAAACGTCACACGGGGCACTGTTAGTTCGTACTCTGTGGGATGTCAAACATAGTTTGAACACCATGTTTCAAAACTCGAAAGGCTCGAACGATCTGGATTGTTGATGCAAGGCTGACGGCAAGAGGACGCAGTGAGATCATCCGCAATGTAATATGTCGCACAGTTGTAGTACATCTCCTCAGGCTCAGGCCCATACTTGCAGGACTCTCAGGGGGCATGCGTCCGAGATGTCTGTCCATGAGCTGGCAAGCCAAAGCCAAGCAGCTCCAAACTTTTGCACGTTTGCACAGTCGTTCCCGTCGACTCTTTGTGATCCTTGCAAATACCCGAACCAACAAAACCAGTATATGCCGGTCGAAGCTAGAAAGATAGGCTGAAGAAAAGACAGGACTTGTGAGGCTGAAGTGCTTCCCAAGAAGCCTTTCCTCCATGGATCTGCCACATCTGCCCTCGGCTTTCGCAATGCTGGCTACGACACCGGAGACAGAGTTCCTTGCAAATCAACCAAGCGTCTCAGCAAAGCCTAAGCTGGCACTGATACATCTCATCTCGACTGCACTGACACATTGGACATTGGATCGGCTTGCCTGTGTCTCAGTTGCAAAGGGGGGGCTTGCAGAGACGGATTGGAAGCCCAGTGTCTTCTCAATGTCCTTGCATGACAAGAAATATCACAACATTCACACTTGCCTACCTACCGCAAGCAAAACATGGCACATCGAAGTAAGTTTGCTTTCCCCTCATCGCGGTGTCGAAGCACTTGCGACGGCCATTCACGCACGTGCATCTCAACTGTATCGTCTTCCGAGGTTGAAGAAACCCCCGGGGGAAGTCAAACTCGCAAGCTGACTGCACCATGCTTGACTTACAGTCTGTGGATCTCGCATCAGTTTCCACTTTGATCTTGTCGAGTAACATGTGTCAAGAAAGACTCAAACCGGTTTGCATGAATTCACTCTGAACCGTGCTGCACATGTCTACGTTCTGCATGCTACCGAGCATCGAAAACTCGGGCGGGCACCACGAAAAAGTTCAATGCACTCCACAAGATCGGCTTCCATACCATACCTGAATCGTGAGCGTGGCGGCGTGACTCTGCGAGAAAATGCGACAGCTGCCCCACGCTCTTTGGCTGAGTCACCCGGACAGCTTCAGGGCGTGCACCTCTGCAACCTGGCCTAGATCAAGACCAAAGCAGGGATGCACACAACCTTACGTTCCAGTTCTCTGATGCTACTCTCCACAGACCTGGGAGCAATGCCAAACAAAGGCCGGAAGGGGCCTGCTATCAGAAGTCATCAGCTGCGGCCGAAACAGCTTGCGGAGATGGAGTATCATGCTCCAGCTGCGGGGCTACAAATCCGTAACATTCCCACTGAGGATACCTCCGCGGTCGGTCCGTAGATCGTGAGGAAGATGCTTGCGATACACCCCTATCACACGAAATCTTTAGCTTGCATGACTGTACGCTCTGCAGTATAGTAGGATTCCGGCTAGCTCTGCGCATGCTCGTCATCGTTGCCCGGGCACCTTCACCAAGATATGCACAACAAGTAAAAGTCACAATTGCCCCTTAAATTTTGTGACAGGACCTACTCGCCTCCGTTCGAGGTCCTCCTTGAATCGCAGCCGCCGCTGCGGCGCAGCGCCGGCACTCCTCGGCCTCGCCGCCATGCGTGAGGGCATAAAGCTCGGCCGCACGCTCGTAGGCGGCTGCAGTCGCACAGCTGTCCCCTTGCAGCTGCCAGCAGCGAGCTTTCAGCTCCTCGAACTTGGCATGAAGGGGATGGACGCGATTGCCGAGGCGGCCATGGGCATCTTCCAGCTGCTCCAGAATGTCAAGGCGCTGTTCTGGTGAAACGATCTGCAGGTTTCCGAGGTACATGTGAAAGATCCTGAAGTGATAGGGATGCAGGTAGGGCGTGCAGTCGTTGCAAAGCCGCTCACAGCGCTCTGCTTCTCGGAAAGCTTGGAGCCGCTCATCTTCGACTCGACACCCGCACTCTTCGCAGAGTAACATGTCAAAGTCGCCCGGAGATCGGCATGGCCGCGGAGGACAGCATGGAGAATCGCAGTCTGGGCAAAGGAAAGCACATACCACCTCTGCTTCTTCCTCCACGCACCGTTGACAGCCACAGTGAAAGTTGAAACTCCGCTGGAGGAGCTCCTGGCGGTGCCACGTAGGAAAATACTCGGGAATGTAGGCCAGTGATACAACATCTCCTTTCGCCAGGTCGGACAGTGCTCGGATCACTAAAGTATGTCTCTTTGCAAGCACACACTTGAAGGCAGATGGCCTGCAACTGTGCTCAGCCAGGCTCCCAATGGAAAAAACAGCAGCGCGCTTGTCATCTGTTTCATGCGCATTTGCAGCAAGCTTGGAATACAGGTCCAGAAGCTCGGAAAGATCCAACTTACTGCCGAACTCTTCCCTCAGTGCTTCATGGAGATTGCCCACCGTCTGGTACCATTGCTCTGGATGGCCCCGAAGTTGCGACAGCTGTGCGAGGACAGCAACTCTAGATCCCCTCACCATCTCCCTAAGAATTGTAATGAAGAGCTGAGTGACGAGTGGCAGCTCCGACGGTGTTGAAAGTGCTGCGAACAGCTCCGCTGCCAGAAGCTTCAGCTCTTCACCACACGCAGACACAAACAGCGGCTCCTCGACAAGCCTCGATGCGCAGGCACAATGGCATGCAGTGGGCTGCCAGCGGACAAAGTGACAAAGACACCGGACATACTTACGCTCTGGCAGTACTAATTTACTAGCATCGGAAGCACTGGGTCGAGAGGCAAGATCTCGCCAGTGGAGACTGATCCAGACGCTTCCAAACAGCGACCGGCACTGGCTCGCTCCACGACATTGACGTTACGCATGGCTCCGTTTAGACACAGGATGTCGATACAAACCGACACCTCTGCACAACAAGGATCTGCGGTTCCGGCATGACTTGTTCCGCGCAGACTTGTGCATGTCCATCAGTGTTCTTGCTAGTGATATCGATGTATGCTCCTACTTGGCTCCCTGCGAAGACTTGAGTACATTCAGCTCTCTTGACAATGCCTGGCGACGCCGGCTGTTCCACAAATCCCGCAAGGTGTTTACCGGCGTTAGCATCAGACGAACCCAAAATCATCGAGCTAAACTCTAGGGCAACGTTCGAAGAGACTTCATGGGTCATTTCACCTCTCTTGAATCTTGAAGCACACGAACCACTACCAACGATGGCAACATCGTGAAATATCGTGACATTCACGTGCTGTTATAGAGTTATAAAGTTACAATGAAGAGCCTTCGACCCCTTGTTGGGATGACCCCGGCCACACGAAACCACACGAAACATCTCGAGTACTGCGCTGGCCACACGAAACCCGTGGCATACGAGTCTCGAGTGCCGTCTTGGCTACTCGAGTGCCGCCCTGGCCACGCGAAATGACACGAAACATCTCGAGTGCCTAGAGTTAAGAGACCCGGTGCCCTGCAAGTGCTTGGATTCCAGGAAATAATTATTTCGTGAGTTTGAGTGTGAGGTTGAGTGTGGGCGAAAGTGTGAGCGAAAGTGTGAGCATGAATTTCCAGCCCATCGGGAAGTGTGAGGTTGAGTGTGAGGTTGAGTGTGAGCGAAAGTGTGAGCATGAATTTCTAGCCCATCGGCAAGTGTGAGGTTGAGTGTGAGAAAAGTGTGAGAAAAGTGTGAGCGCAAGTGTGAGCGAGAGTACTGGGGGGTGGGGGTGGGGTGGTGGGGGTGGGTGGGGGGGTGGGGGTGGGGCAAGGGGTGGGGGGAGGGCGCCCACACTCCCGCCCACACTCCCACTCCCGCCCACTCCCCCGCTCACACTCCCGCTCACACCCCCGCTCACACTCCCGCTCACACTTTTCTCACACTCCCGCTCACACTCCCGCTCACACTCCCGCTCACACTTTTTCCTGCGTTTTACAAGGAAAAAGTGTGAGCGGGAGTGTGAGCGGGAGTGTGAGCGGGAGTGTGAGAAAAGTGTGAGCGGGAGTGTGAGCGGGAGTGTGAGCGGGATCAGGAGTGTGGGGAGGAGTGTGGGCGGGAGTGTGAGCGGGGGTCGGGGCCGGGACCCGGCGGGCGGGCCGGGCCAGGTCGGGGCAGGGGGGCCGGCCGGGTAGGGCGGGGAGGAGCGGACTTGGGCGCCGCCCGGCTCTCGCAGTCCCTGTGCTCCACAACTCAACCTCACACTCAACCTCACACTCAACCTCACGCTTCCGTTCACACTCTGAATCACCGCTCACACTCAACCTCACACTCCCGCTCACACTCAAGCTCACACTTCCGCTCACACTCAGAATCCCCGCTCACACTCAACCTCACACTTCCGCTCACACTCTCGCTCACACAAAACCTCACACAAATAATGTTTTCAGACCATCCCAAGGGTTGCAGGGACTGGGACTCACAAGCCTAGAGATTCCAAACACCAAGCAAGGGTGTGACCAAGACAACAATCTGAAATCCTATGTCCAGTGCGGTCTCTTGCAAGGTTTGGAGTCAAACGCCTGTACTCTACTGTTTCAAGCTGTCCGTAGCAATCTCTATCAGCCACCATCACAACACCAATGTTCGCCAAAGTGCCTCAACATTGGCGTTGTCACGTTGCAGCTCACCCATGACAGAGTTCTCGCGCGAAGGGAACTTTTCTGGCATGATGGGCCAAAAGGACATCCAGTGCAACCCATCTTTTTGGAGACCTTACGCGACCGGCCCTCGCTGGCGGTTTTTGGAGTTGCTGAACCTCTTTATGAATTTTTGCTCGGAGTGGCGACGTTAATGTTTCCGATTGCTTGTACCACAATCTCATCTGAATCTGTCAATGCCGTCGCTCTGTGAGCAAGACCATCAGGTGCGTGCAAATCAAACGCACACAACCAACCACCCCTTTCGCCACCTACAATGTGACGGGGCACGTCATGGACAAGAAGTTTCACAGAAGTGGAACCGATATAAATGGACATATTTTCGAAATCAGTCCACAGTCCACATATGTTTTCATATCAAAAAGCAGTCAGAACTCTCGCATTGTTGACATGGCTTCACTCGCACCACAGTGTTGTCCTCGATTTGAGGTCGGAGCGGATTTCTCACTCGGCGAAGAACATGTGCACCGGTTCATGTTGCAGCGCCGGCGAAAACACCGCACCCAAAGCTGTAGCACGCATGTTGATCACCAGGGTTGGGAGGGTGGGAGCTTCGAAATCTCGCCACTTGACCCTGTGGCTACAATGCATGCAATGTGATTCACATACTGCAAGTAGCGCTGTTGAAAGACCAGATATAAAACTTCCCAAAATACCCTAGGTAGAGAAGGGAACATCACCCACGACAAAATATGCTCAAAAGAGCCTTTGCCTCCAGCAAGAAGAGGTACACACAGTGTACCAAAACACATGGGTTTGAAAAGCACACACATTGACGCAACAAGTCGCGAACGCGTGCGCGCAAATCAAAGCCATCGCACCAACCATCCTTTCGCCACCTACTGTGACTGTGACGGGGCATGTCATGGACAAGAAGTTTCACAGAAGTGGAACCGATATAAATGGACATATCTTCAAAATCAGTCCACATATGTTTTCATATCAAAAGGCAGTCAGAACTCTCGCATTGTTGACATGCATGTACAATGGTTTCACTCGCACCACAGTGTTGTCCTCGATTTGAGGTCGGAGCGGATTTCCCACTTGGCGAACAACATGTGCACCGGTTTATGTTGCAGCGCCTTCGGCGAAAGCAACCGCACCCAAAGCTGTAGCACACATGTTATTCTCCAACGAAACTTTCCTGCGCACTAGTTGCGGGCAACCCTGACTGTGCGTTCCTTTTTTTTGTCCTAGTGGTCAGTGGGGGTGAGTCCGAGCCCGATCTTCGGGCAGTCAGCAAACGAAGCCACTGGCTTCAAAAAAGATCGACCACTGATCGAATGCGCTTTAAAGCGACGACTCGTCCACCACCCTCCCCCTACAGGGGGTTTCCTCGTAAAAGAACACACCATAAACGAAAATATGATACAAGATGTGAGAACCACAACACGTACCGGAGGGAGGATAGCATCACAATGCACCAATGGAAAAAGGTGCCGGGTGAACCACAAGCTCCCTCCATGGGAATTCGTATGCCCCAGCACGGTGTTGCAACTAGAGCCGGCTAGCAATGCCAGATTGCCGTGAAAGGAGATCGAGGTTCCAAGCAAACCCCGTGGGCCACAGGCGACCACACGAGTGAAGTCCGGAATGAAAATGAGGCGATGAAGAAACGGATGCATTTGTTCACTACACTTTGGGCTTCGCGATCAACCATGCAAACGAAATCACACATGTACTCATGCCATGCGGAAAACGTTCAAAAGCACTACGCTAGGTTACAGAAAACAGGGTACGTTGGGGCAAAACGAAGTTCCTCACCCCGAGAGACCATGTGCTCCGACATTGGTCACTCGTTTGAACTCTTGTGGCCAACAAGACTGCTCGTGCACTAGCCGAAACAATCCAAACAACGACGCACACTCTTAGGTGTTTTACCACGTAGGTACCCTCGTGAAAGCAAACCAGAACTCCACCTCCATGGACCACGAAAGGACCCTCATGTGGCCTCGAATGACTCGAATGGACCACAACGCATTGGACTCTCAATTTTCTGTCCTCATTCCACAGAGCACCGCATGTGATCATCAATGCCAAGCTCGCATACTGCTCAGCACTCACACCCTGCATGAAGCCGATGACCATAAAGGCAAATGCAAAGCATTGCATAACATAGCCATTCAATATCCAAAGTTTGCGGTGCATGCTGAATATCAATGCTCAAGCGCAAAGTCGAAAAGTCGTTCAGGCCCAAGACCCGTGCATTTTTTTGGCGTCCGCGGGCCTCGTTGGCTACGACAGTAGCACTCGGTCCCAGAAAACTACACTAAACAAACACAAACACAAGAAAACGGCGGTGAAACGATCCTAAGAACATGGCAACGTGTCAGCTGCAGCGTGCGGACTTAGTCAGCAGAAAGCTGTTCAGCGAATCAAAAATAAGCCACGCTCAGCTACTCAGCAAGGTGACAGTGGGTCGGCACCCAAGGCCACCCAAAGCAACGAGTGAAACCAAGGCTCCGGCCGCCGTTCTCGCTTGGTGACTTTGGCCTCCCAGCAAGGATCATAGGCATGAGGGTCGATAATGCCTCCCCCCTCTGCAGGTTTTGGGATCCCCCCCTTTTGGCTATACCAAAGACAACCGTCTAAGCTTGAGGGGCTTACAGGAACACCTCCTAAACTACTTAACTAAGCCCCGCGCAGCGGCCTAAATTTTTAGAAGGGTATAGCCAAAGGGAGGGACGGGTACCCAACCCCTACAAAGTGCCAGGCGCAGCCTGGGGCTTCACCCTTTCCAAGCAGAAAGCGGCCCCTAGCAGCTAAAACCCAGGATCCTAAACCCTAGGTAAAAACTAAAGACCACCCACTACGGCCACAAACTGTCCCCCCAAGGTTCCAGTAGAGGCTTTCACACGCTCGTCAGCTTTGCTTATAACCTCACCCTTTCGGGCTGCTGTCCCAAGGGAGCGCAGCTCGAGTCCTGGTGGAGACCCTTACTGCGGCCGGACTGTACATTAAGCAGAGGTATTCCTGCCAGCACTTCTGCCGCTGGGTGACCCAGTCTCTAGCGATCCCGCCCTAAAGGAGAAGCTACAAAAACGCAGGTGTAAACCTGCAGAGGGAATGAAACTCAGCAGTCCCTGCAGCGGCTCCGATAAGGGCCCAGATTGCTCCAGGCACTGCAGCTATACTGGCCTTCGCCGCAGAGGAACGGTCTTGCTACCCACCACGAACTTTGACCGCTAGCCGGCAACGCACGATGCTTTAGGCAAGC